CACATTTTCTTTGCACAAATCTAGATGTATCTTCACCCATTTTTACAGAATCTGTGGATATGCTCTAAACGAGCCCTGTAGTTACAGAGAGAGGTGCTCTCGGTGACAGATCAGATAACCCTTTTCTCTCTGCACCTTGGAGATGCTGCCAGGTTGGCACCACCATCTCGAAATCTATCTGACGAGATGCCAGCAGATAAGGCTCTCTCTCGTTTTGGGTATAAACCACAGGCAAACACTGGCCTTGCCAACGTGGATCAGGTTTGACAACCTTCATACTCTGCTTCCACGCAAATTCGTAAGAGGATCGCTCTCTCTTTCACCCTCCCGAGTCTCGTGGCATATTTTATTCATGGCCAAAATCTCTGTTGTTTGGGCCACAGAGTTCTAAAGATCAACAGAATGAGGCTCTCTGATGGATCTTGATGATCAGAAAGCTTAATTCGACAGCCGCTTGATTGAGCGTGTAGCTGGACGATACGTGCCGCCTCAGGACTTTGTTGAGACTGAAGCCTGATCACAGATTGATCATCAATGGATGTGATGTTGTGCCACCTGGCTGGCACTCACAGCGAGACCGTACGTTATTGATGATTCGCTATCAAGTCGGTTAATTAGAAGTGCATTTCTTGTCATTCATATTAGTGCAGATCTGATTAAACTCAGCCAGAGCTTTACCTCCAACAGATGTTCCTCATAGGGGAGAGTATCTCTGGCACCACTGTGTGGACCATCACTCACCAGTAATTCATGTCTGGCGGGCGGTTATGAAGAGATACCACTGCCACAGACATACACAGGAACTTGGCCTTTATCAGTCTTGTTTGTTGAGATGGGGTTACAACTTTATTTTGCAACAGGATGTTGTAGCATATAGCAATTTGTGGTGTACCACTGCAGGGTAATTGTACCAGAATGCTTAAAAAACAAGATGACAATATGTTATTAGTTGTTTGCTTTTATATGATCATTTTGTGAAAACAGTTGATGTAGAATGAAGAGAGAGTATTGTAAATGATCTGTTCATGTGGTATTTACTAAGACAAGAATTACAATTGATGGATGGATTCCTACAGGAAATTCACATTCCTTGCTATTCACATTGGGGACGGATATTTGTAAATTAATAAAAAAAAATTTCGACGAGCAGTCCAAAGTTTTTTGTCTTTGTTTGACAAAGAAAACAGACTGACCAGTGGCTTATGAGCTGTCACATCTGATACAAAATAAATAAAAAATATAAACTCTGAATGCAGATTAGTGAAGCAGCCACCTGTATATGTAAATTATTATTTTGATGTAAATGTATAATAGACCAGTGTGAAAACACAAAACAATACGTCAAACAGGCGATAGCTGCTGTTACTGAACAATTCAGCATGTTGGTGTTGCTAAAGCTTCTTTCATTTGACGTGGAGCTGCTGTTGTCTTTACATACCTCTGAAAAAGGACAATTAAAAATGTTGCAGTTCATGAAAAGTTGCAGTTTATGAAAATAAATATTCTCTTTTAAAAAAGTGTGCAAATAATGTTATTGTGCATATAGCTTATTAATATGCCTAAATATAAATCTCAAACCGCATCATACCAATGCTCATGAAGTAATTAAGTGTAAATACATTAAAAAGTAGTAAAATATCTTCAACAGGATCCATCATTTTTAACACTTGTTTCAGGAGGCATATGGTGATGTGACAGACAGACGGAAACTCCGAATGCGTCTTGGCTGTAAAGATTTTAAGTGGCTCTTGGAGAACATCTACCCTGACATTCAAGTCCCAGAGGACAGGCCTGGAATGTTTGGCATGGTGAGAAGAGACAAACTTCTTGTGTTTACATGCACAGCTTTGTAGCAGCAGAAATCAAGAAGTAAAAATGCTATTATTCACAGCAGTAAGCAGGTTGGTTTGATTTAAAGTTTACAATGCAAGCATAGTGTGACATGATGAAATGAGGCCAGTTCCTTTGTAATCAACAAAACTACACTTCAAGCGAGTGGCACAGTGTAGACAAAATCTGGGACTGTTTTATTTAAAAGTTGAAATAAACAGACTTTTTTTTTTTTTTAGAAATTCAGAACAACCATATTATGATATAAACTTTTGTAAAAATGCTATTATTCACAGCAGTAAGCAGGTTGGTTTGATTTAAAGTTTACAATGCAAGCATAGTGTGACATGATGAAATGAGGCCAGTTCCTTTGTAATCAACAAAACTACACTTCAAGCGAGTGGCACAGTGTAGACAAAATCTGGGACTGTTTTATTTAAACGTTGAAATAAACAGACATTTTTTTTTTTTTTAGAAATTCAGAACAAACATATTATGATATAAACTTTTACTTATATTATGCTGATAATGTAATTTCTGATTTAAAATCTATAAAGACACAAATTCTCATATGAACATTGAAGTGTCAGAATTTTGGGTGAAGAGACATTTCTCAGATTTGATAAAAAATAAATGAAGATGAACAAATTTCCTATGGGTTTGGAACAACATGAGCATGAGTAAATGATGACAATTTTAATTTTGTGGAGAAATATCCCTTTAAATAAGAAAAATCAAACTTCTGGACCCGATTATTTGAATGTTTCTTTTTCTTCTCAATTGTAGCTGAAGAATAAAGGAATGGACAACTACTGCTTTGACTACAACCCACCTGATGATCATAATATGGCCGGTCACCGAGTCATTCTTTACCCTTGTCACGGCATGGGACAAAACCAGGTAACTTTCATTTTCACAACTGTAATGACAGACAGCCACACTGATCCAATTAGTGTTCACTGCTGCACAATACACAGAGATTGTAATGCGTCCTCAGGAATATACATTGTGTGTCTCACACTTCTAATGTATTATTAAGACAGCATCCTAATACGGCACAGTAAATAGTGTGTTGTGCACTTCACAGCACGCTTGTTTTTAAAGCAACTCCAGTCGCCGGGCACAGATTTTATTCGTCTCCTCCCTCTCTGTGGGGAGGCAGATGAGCCCTGGAGACTCATCAGTGCACAATATCAGCCATATGTACAGCACAACAACACTTTTCTAATGGATTCTCTCTGTGAATACAAGATAAATGCTCTTCCTTTTCTTTCTGGTTTGGTACATTTGGGTCAATCCTGTTTAAGACTTAAAAAAAAGATGCTTATGTTGTGATTTAAGAAAGTATTTTTATTCGAAGGTATAACAGACCTTCAGAAATGTGTTGAATGTGTATATATCTTCCTTTCTCTTTTTGCGACAGTTCTTTGAGTACTCCACACTCCAAGAGATCCGTTATAACACGAGGGATCCTGCAGGCTGCGTCGTGGCTGATCCTGTCTCCACATTCCTTACCATGCATCACTGCAGTAAACCCAGGGAAGCTGTGCCTGAAGACCAGAAGTTCCTATTCAGAGAGGTGAGATCACAAACCAGATGTATGATTGTATGCAAATAGTATTTTATTCAAATTAATTGCATTAATTAATCCTAAATAATCACATATACACTACCATTCAAAAGTTAATAAGACTTTTGTCGTTTTATTCAGCAAGGACGCTTTAAATTGATCAAAAGTGAAACAGTAAAGTAACAGTAATTTATAATGTTACAAATAATTTCTATTTGAAATAAATGCAGTCCTTTTGAACTTATTCATTAAAGAATCCTAAAATATGCATCACAGTTTCCACAAAAATATTAAGCAGCACAACTGTTTTCAACATTGATAATAAAAAGAAATGCTTCTTGAGCAGCACATCAAGTGTTCTTGGAAGCAAACAACGGTCCAAGAAAATGTCACCTTAAAGTGTTACTTGAGAAAGTCACCCAGCATGGCAAGAGGTTTCAGTGTGGCTTGCAGTGAAATTTCAGAAGCAAGCCTTAGTGTGAACTCTTTGCCAGTACAGCGAGCACCTGAAGAGCAGCGTGACGTCAGCGTGATTCTCTCTAGACTGTGGGGTATTAAGAGTAAGGAGGAGGTGCTGGGAGCAAATGAAACGCTGGGGTTGACTGAGCTTCCTGTTCTAGTGCGCCAAAGGCCTTTATACTGTAGTATTTGAACAAACCCCTGACCTTAAGTATTAGACTTGGATGTGTAACAATTCTCATAATCATTGCATTGGCAGGACGGCTCTCTCTACCATGTTCAGACACAGAAGTGTGTTGAGGCAGTAGCCCGGACTGACACTGGGAACCCTGGCCCTGCTCTCCGTCCCTGCTCCGACTCAGCCTCCCAGAAGTGGTTATTTGAAGAGAGAACATAGCAAAGGTTCTCTCTACACCCTTCACCTGCACTACAGTTCAAAGTGCATTTCATATAGGCTGTTCTGACTTCACACCAGCTTATTGAGCATTCCACTTCCTCCGCTTAGGATTGATAGTGCCTTCCTTTTACACGACATGCACAGTACAGACTCTGTCTGTTAAACTGAAAAAAATGGTATGTTTTAATTAATTAACATATTTGATTTGAACATGTTTGGATAGTGTATTAAAATTCATCACTCATAATAGTTGTTCAGTTTGTAATTCTAAAACCCTGAGGAGAATTAGCATTTTTGTGCCATGAGTGTTCTCAAAAATGTTCAACGAGTTTTGGATTTCTGAGTAAAATAAGGTATATGTGCTACAACATTCACTACTGTTCAAAAGTTTGGGGTCAGTAAGATTTTTTTTTTTTTTAAAGAAATAATTATTTTTATTAAGCAAGGATGCATTCAATTGTTCATAAGTGATGGATAAGATATTTATAATGTTACAAAAGATTTCTATTTCAAATAGGTGCTGTACTTTTTTAACTTTGAGTCAAAGAATCCTGATTTTTTTTTTTTTCAAATATCATTCATCATGTTTAGAATATTAGAATGATTTTTGAAGGATCATATGACACTGAAAACTGGAGTAATGGCTGCTAAATATTTAGCTTTGCCATCATAGGAATAAATGACATTTTAAAATATATTAAAATAGAAAATGGTTATTTTAAATTGTAGTATTATTTCACAATATTACTGTATTTTTATGGTGAGCATGAAAGACTAATTTCAAAATCATCAAAAGTTCTTACCAGCTCCAAAAGTTTGAACAGTAGTGTATGTTGTATGATGAAATGTAAAAGTCTCGAAACTACAGACCTTATTTTAATTATAAATCCAAAACTGCCATTCTTAAAGCCCACAGGAAGTTCCTAAGGAAACCCATGGTGAATTAGTCTTCCTGGTTGGCCTGCACATACACATCATTACTGAACACCTCCATTTCTCAGCAAGATGTAAACACTGTATTTAAGCGCTCATCATAACCTCTGGGTCTCTTGCAATTGACAATCATTACCATTTTATAAGATGGTAATTTGAGTTATTTTAATCAGTCAGTGCTGCCAGCTCCATCTGCTGGTGTCTCATCCTCCCCTGTTCTCCTGCAAAGTAGCTTCTATTTATTCAAATTATTTGACATATTTAACTACTTTTTTCTAGTGACTAGCATTTTTAAAAACAACTCCTCTGTGATCCGGTACCTGATGTAAGTCAGATCTCGCTTGCACTTCGAGCCTCCTGGCAGCCTGGTTGTGTGTATTTTTGGCTGAGTATTGAGATTAGGCTCAGATAAGCAGCAGTGCTGGCAGTGGCGGCGCTGCTGCCATTCTCTTTCCAACCACTAGATGGTGCCAAATTCTCCGTTTTATTCCTTGTCCGCTTTGTCCTGCATGCTGTAACATCAGTTTGTATTTACATTGTGTAATTTCAGTTGCCCACGATGCAGTGATTGAGATGCTGGGTTACACTTTTTATACACGATTACGGTTAAAAATGTACAGTGATTATTATTACTTGTATCTGAAACCATATGGCAGCCTACCTCTAGTCATTTACCTGCTGTTGAGAATAGATTGTCGGTCATTTGAAGGGGATGAAACAGAGCTGGATGTCACAGCAAATACTAGATTGTAGTGGCCAAATTACTGTGATTTTTGCTTCATATTTCCCTAAAGTTGTAGAGAAACAGTGCTGGTTAGTTAGTTTAGGGCAGGGGTGTCAAACTCAGTTCCTGGAGGGCCACAGCCCTGCAGAGTTTAGATTCAATCCAACTAATTAAATGCAGCTGATCCAGCTAATCAAGTCCTTCAGGCTTATTTGAAAACTACATGGTATGTGTGTCGGAGCAGGGTTGGAACTAAACTCAGCAGGGCTGCGGCCCTCCAGGAACTGAGTTTGACACCCCCTGGTTTAGAGTATGTGGATATAAACCTCTTTAAATTCTGACCAACTGTGGGTATGTTTTCTATGCTGAATGATCATTTCTGTAAGTCATTTATAATTAATTTATTTGATTAACTTAGCTTTCTCAGTTATTTATTACTTCAGTAATTGCTGGTGTGCTTAAAATTGCTGGGATGTTGAAAATAGGAAGTAGATTTTTAGTCAAAACTGAACTCTGTTATTTACTCACCTTTATGCTGTTCTACAACTGTACAACTTTCTCCTGTGAAACACAAAAGAAGATATTTTGAAGAATGTTTATGCTGCTATTTTCCAAAAAAGGCACTTTATAAATATAAAAGTTGTCTATAAAAGTCATGAGCTATTTTCTATATAGCTATATAGAAATAATAGTTCTATAAGTTATTGATTGAAAACCACCATTTACTTTAATTCTATGGAAAAAAAGCAGCTATGACATGCTTAAATATCTCCACACAGAAAGAAAGAAAGAAAAATGTTTTTGAAAGACTTAAAGGTGAGTAAATAAAGACCTTTTTTTTTTTTTAAAGACATTTAAAATGTTTTAAGTGCCTTACACAGTGTTCAAAGAAGGACATTTTAATATAGGTGAGAGGGAACTTTTCTTTGGTTTACAGAACATATTTTTTGTTTTAATCTATAAGGTGATGGGGCCAACTGAACATTGTCATGAGCTTCAATACTGGACAGATGTTTTCACGGCCTCTATAGATAAGAAGGTGATTGAAAGATTGATAATATTATCAGAACAATTATGTTTGCAATGGTAGGGCTTTTCCTGTCTGTCAAAGCCTCAGATTTGATTATGGGTTTCTTAAAGAGGTCAAAAAGAGGATATTCTGTATGAATGGTTTTAAGTCCTATTTCCACTGTCTATATGGTCATTTTATCCTCAATACAATGGAAGTATAAAACACAAAAAATGATACATTCTATAGATAAATGTGGTTTAAAATTCATATCATGCATTTTGATCTTCAAACATGCCCAGATACTGATGCATAGGACCAACCATGGCCATAAAAGTTGTGTGGTTGGTTACAGCAGCAGCGAGTATGCACTTTTCTTGGAATAATGAATGGTTTTTAATGTTATTTTATTTTACGTTTAATTTTGCTGATGGTAGAATGTTGAAACCATGTGTTTTGAAACGGTATCAATGCTGGAAGAAAATTCAGGTAACTTTATGCTATGTAAGTGACCTTAACATCAGAAATGAAGGTATTCTTTTTTATTATTAATGCATTAATTATGGTTAATAATGTCTAATATCTAATTTAAAGGCGCACTCAGTACTTTTTTGTTTGTTACGCTACACCATTTTATGTCATTCACAGTCAGCAGCAATTTATTTATTAATACGCAAAGTTTCAGAAATAAGGTTATTAGTATTTAACAAAAGCCAGCCCACTCCATGTAAAATAAAGCTGCTTTTATTAGGTAACTGATATGATTGCAGTCCTCATCTCATGTGAGGATACTTTATTTTATACATATTTCAATTTCTTTGTGCAAAACATTTTAATTAGGGAAAAATCTATTGAGTGCACCTTTTAATTGTAATGACATTATTTTTTTCTAGATCTAAAAAATGAAAGTTGCTTTAACTTAAAATTGATTTCATGTTTGACTTTTTACACATTAAAGCCATTGAATAACATCCCAATGTGTGCCTATCTTTCTTTACCAAAAACTGACAACCCCTGGCAATCTTTTTTTCCACCGTATTACACACTCTTGTATCTCCAGCAAGTGCTCGTATTCTGGCACTTCACTCGGGTTATTGTGGAAAATAATAAATTGCAAACTCTTCCCATTTCGTTCACCCTCTGAATGCGTGTTTGTTCTTTCCATCCATGTTGGAGTCTTAGTCGCAGCGAGACGATGGTGGTGTCGTTGGCAGCCGATTGGCTGGAAGATGTGCAGCTGAGTATGAGGACGCGCTCATGCCAAGATGCTCCTCACTATGCGCTCTGCCCCGCAGTCATTCTCAATTACTCATTCATGATGTGCGTCTGTTTGATATTTGATACTGTTTGTGGGTTTCTTTTGTATGGTGTCATCTGCCTCGCTCTCCGGGTGCAGGATGGGATTAGTTTGGAACACTCTAGCTGGCTTTAGGAAAACAGGGTCATGGAACGAAGCTTTGGAAGCCGGCAGATCACACCGGCTCTGCTGCCAGAGAGGCGTTAGATGTGCCTTCTGCATGAATCACTGTGGAGAACCTTATTTTCGTCTCGTTGCATCCGCACAACTTCTTTCTCTTCGGCAGCGGCGTCAGTGTTGGTGCACTGTTGTCATAGGCAAATGGGATTACGACCACTTCACTTTTTAGCTTTAGAAAAGGGTATTAAATATTAAAATGATCTCTGAGGTGTAAACGGCGCTCACCTCCTTGTGATGCTTTTGGGATCTTAGATATGAAGGCAGCTTGCTCGCCTACATCCCATGTGTTGCTTGACAAGGTCTCTCTGTATGCCGAGCGTCTCTTTTCAGAGATGAAAATAAGCTTGATTTGGCAAAGCGAGATGAGACACTGACAGATACATGCTATAATTTTCTACACTGTCTGTTCAACTGGCTCATGTTGTCGAACTAATGCCTGCTCAGCCTTCTCTGTGAACGGCTGATTTCACCACATTCTCATTACTCCAGGTGTTCAGTGAGGTGAGGGTTGATCATTCCAAAAGATCCTGATGCATTTGCATTGTAAAGTCACGTGTTTAGAGTGTTCATAACATGTTTGCACTTTCAGGCGATGAAGCGAAACCTGGCATGTGAACCTCTTTCAATATTTCTGATGTGAAATATCAACCGTTCAGGGGTTAAAAGTGACTTTAACCCAGAGTTAAGTGTAGTGTGTAGTGTTTTTAATATTGCACTGAATCTTGACAGATCTATTCTATTGTGACGTATTTTCGAGTCTTAACGGATTATTCAAAAAGAAAAAAATGAAGGGTGGGGACATAGTTCTGTCTATCGGTTGTTGATTGGATTTTGAAATGTAGGCGTCATTAAAATAGTTAAGTCTGTCAGGTGTTTTCCCCCATTTTCCTCACAGCAATGAATGGTTTGCTTGCATATAGAGTGCAACAGTGCCATCCTTGGTTCTGGAAGTATTTTCTCACAAGGATTTAAAAAAAAGTCTTTGTTACAGAGACATAAGCCATGAACCGAACCGAACTGAACCAAACCAACCTACTACGAGGTGAATCACAATATTACGAACTTTGATTTGAAACAAAAAATTATTTGAAAAATGACAAAGGGAGAAGTGTATACTTTTAATGTGGGAAAGATCTATAATCCCATGAAGCATTGTGAACGACCTGCTTGATGAACAACCAAATCAAAATAAAAACAAATAAATGAATTAAAAAAAATTTGATTTAAAGATGTTGATTTAATATAGAAGCAATATATTTTACGATAATTGCAAAATATGCATAAATACACTATATTTAAGAAGTTTGAGTGTGCAGGGAGATTGACTATTATACCATTTGCAGTGCTTCATAGGAATGGGTGGTTCTTTTGGCATGATTTTTGTCTCAATTCTCTGATTGTTGGAAATTTTTGCTGAATCATGGGTAATGTATTTTTTTTCTTTAAACCAGGAATTCCAGTGTTAAGCAATCATTTAAAAAACAATTTCAAATAATGCTGGCTGATGGCTTCAACAAAAGCATATACCATCAATTAACAACCTTCTAACTCACTGTAGTGAGTATCTCCCTATGGAGAAAATGAATGGGATCTGTACTTCTCAGATCCTATAAATGTAAATTTGTAAAGAAAATAGTGTAAAACCTTTTATTTTCAAGAAAGATGGTGATCATTATTTGAATTCTTTAAGGAACTCTAAAAATGCAATTGCTCTTAAGACTCTTAAATGTCTTTGTGCTTGTATATACACATGTAATGTACATTTGTGTGTGTGTGTATATGTGTGTGTGTGTGTATATATATATATATGTGTGTGTGTGTATATGTGTGTGTGTATATATATATATAGTATATATATATATATATAAGCAGTGGTCAATAACAAACTTAACTGAATATGGTCCAAACTGTCCTCAAGCATCCTACTAAATGAGCTGTCCTGTGAATGTATACAAAATGACTGACAGACAGAGTGCACCTTAAAGCACTCACTGTACCAATTCTTACCACAGCCTGCTGTACTGTAGCTATGACAGTTGTTATATTTTAGGATGCATAATTCAGCAATCTCTGTCAAGTAAAAGGGATATTTTTAAATGCTGTCATTAAGAACCTGTAAACATCTGATGGTTAGAACCTTATTCTGGTTTCCTTGGTAACACTAAACAATAATTTAAAAAGTAACAGAAATGAATACTGTTGCTTTTGTCTAATGATATGCAAAATTTGATGGAGATGTTGTGAAGGACAATAAAGGTAAGAGTATAGTTGTATTGCAGCTATTATGTATTTAGATCCAAGTTTGCTTTGTTGTGGCCTGCATTAAGAGGTTACGCCTCCAAGCTTTTTGAAAATGACTGTTGAGACTATTATGTATAATTTAACTCCCAATGGAGAGCCATTCTGTACATTCATGCCCCATTTTTCTTCTCTTTCTGCCTCTCTTCTGCCACTTTATTAAATGGATGACTTATTCTTTTCATGTGTTATGCACTGTATCCATTTTAAATCTTATTGTACTTCTGCATTTCTTTCCAAATTTCCCCGGAGTTAGAATAATTTACACCATTTGTGTCTAATTTGACGTTTTCATATACTCCAGTTGCAGTGGCATTTGTTTCTTAAACACTTGGATAACACAAACAATTACCTCAACGGCAACATGATTTCATATGATTTATTTATGGCAAATTTCCT